AATAGCGATGGCCTCCACCTAGTAGCGTCCTTGTTCCTACTAGTAGCTTTTTCCAGCCTTGTCCAGACCTCCAAGATCCCAACCCTCTTTGAATCAGCAACACACCTTTGGAAACCACCGGTGTGACCGTGATCGACAGTGGAGACAGCGGTGGAGACAGCAATGGAATTGAAAGCTCCAACTCCTTCAAATCCAACAAATGAAGAGACCCAATGTAGAATCTTGGAGTTTTGGAGGCGTGTCCCCCAACATGGACCATGGGATTCTGTGATGTCTTCGCCTCGGCATTGAAGTCCTTGTAGGAGATGTCCCCCAAATGTAGGCAAGGGCCCAAATTGCCCAAGTGGGTCGTAACTGCTTTGGCACCGATGTTGCTCAGCAAGACCTAGACGGAGTCATCCTAACTCAGACGCATCTGCTCATGGAAGAGGATCAGTCGTTCACAAGCCCCCAAAAGAAAACAGGCGCCAGATGTTTGCCATTGCGTTGACTCAAGGCCAAACAAACAAGGTTGATGATTGTTAGTTGTATAGTAATGCCAATTGTTTGAACAAAGGAAAAGACACATTGATGTTCAAAAAGGAAACCCACCCAAGTTCACAGTTTCCCCACTCTCATCCCCAGTTGATTCGTCAATGCCAACTCCAGCTGTTGAGCGTTTCTGTGACCCACCTGCCTTGTGCACGATGGGGAGCGGATCTGATGGGTTGATTTTTGGTTTGGCTTTGCCCATCTTCTTCATCGCCACATCCACCTGAAAGTGCAATTCACTCCACACTCCAGCTGCGTTGTGCGGGACAGAAATGGCCCAATAGATCCAATTGCAGCTCAAAGAGGTTCGAAACACCCCAGAACATCACAAACACACTTTGCTGGCTTCGGAGCATTTGATCCCGACCATGACATCTCATAAATCACTTCCACATCATCAAGCAACACCTCGCACGAGTGAGTCGAACTACCATGGATCACTGCATGGACTAACATCAGCTACCAAAGGACACAGAAATCAAAAAGGATGTGTTTTAATGCATTGCAAGTACTATAAACATACACAACTACTGTACCAGTATGTATGTGTATGTGTGTGTGCATATGATGCATATACTGTATAGTATATATATAATATGTTACAGTATACGTTGTACTGTAAGTCTCCGGCTTCTTCCAATTCCAAGGTTTTGCCCATGCTCTTCAGAAGAGTCTTCATGTCCAGATCGATCACCAGCTTTCCAGCATGCAGGAGATACTCTGAGTTGAACCCTTCTGGATTCTTGATGGTAAGCCCATCCTTAGAAGCACGTTGATCTAAACAGCTGGACAGCTTGCGCGATTCTGGGTGATTCTGGCCACGAACACCCGAACCTGTGCAGCCCAGCGTCCACAGAAACTCTCCCGCGAAATGCATCGACATGGGTCGCACCCAGAACCTCAAGGTGCTGCTAGCCGCCAGAATGCGACGGCCCATCTGCAATACAACCAAAGAAGGCAGCCAAGCATGAAGGCAAGGAAGACACCTATATGTTAAACGATTGTGACACATAATGATAGGCGTCACATAGGCGCAAATAAAACGCCGGCAAGCCCTGACAAGAGTCTCTTTCTTTTCCCTTTTTGCCAAATCTAAATCATTCCATTTGCTTAATTACTTCACTGCAGTCTGATGCTTTTGCTTTCACTTCAGTCCCAAGGGCGAACTTCAGCCCCAAGGCCTGCGTGGTGTGGTTGCCCGTCGGGCCCGTGGTCGGTGGAATGCGGGATAAAACCTGGAGAACTATTACAAATACGTCATAGTCACCACTCACGATGCATTGGAAATGGTCGCCCCCCACGAACCAAGGCCTCATTTGGCATGTCTCTAGGCCCCTGCGGCCTCTGCTATGAATCACCTCATGAGGGTGGCAATCCTCACGCCATTGGCCCGTTTTCCCGTCTTCCCGGACCAAGGCATCAAGCCAACGGTTGGAAGAGGATGGCTGGAGATGGCTCAAATGCTACACTTTGGACTGATCCAATAGAGGTCCCGGAAGAAATGGACCATCTTGTTTTCACAAACGAACGAGCACCAACCGATGTACTTGGCAGACCATCAAATAGATGGATTAAACCTGGAATATAACACATCAAGACATGGCCTCTCCTCGTAAGGCTGCATCTCTCTAGTCAACTCCTTCCCTCAAATCGCTTCGATCTCACTCGCCCTCCCAGCCTCTCATGCTTCCCTCTTTGCCCAGAGCTACCCTCGTATCGCTATGTTCTCCGACCTTCTCATCGAAGTGCTTCAACAAGGACTTCACCGCAGAGCCAACTAGTCCGCTGTGCTTCTCCTTGGCCTCACCGGTTTGGGGCACCGCAGCAGTCTTGCTTGCCTGACTGGTGTCGCTCTTCTCCTGAGATCAGCAAAGCTTGGGGTGCGAAGTAGGCATCGTGATTTGGAAGAGCCAACAAAAGGAAGCATTGCACTTCGTTCAGAATCCCACGGCACACGGAAGGTGCGGGTAGGTATATTGCACAAAGGGTACGAGCAGTATCAGGCAGTTAAGAATAGTTTTGAAGATGCTCCTCAAGGCACTTTTCGTGTTAAACACTCCATGCGTTGCTCAATGCACTGTGATGCATCTCAGCCGCCTGCTTCTCTTCTTTTTCCCTGAATCCCACGCAAATTGAAAATCTGAGATCCATGATATCATGTAAGAATGCAATGTGTTTTTCTTATCATCTGTCTTCAGTAGCCCATCAAGGATGTGGAATGAGAAATGATGCCTCCTCCCAGGAGCATAGGAATGGATTCCCAACCTCTTAAGCGCCATGCTGCTGCCGAGGTCTATGTCAATCTAGTGCAAACCAGCGTGCATAGATGCTAAGCCACAAAGCCATCGGTTCTTCCATTTGGCACGTGTGGCCGTGCCATTCTCTGGGGAATTTGCCTTTATGGAAACTTAACCCTATTATTTGTGTTATTTTCTATACAACCACAATAACACCTCTTACCAGGAGCCTTCTCTTCCGTGACAGCAAGTTGGGCAGGTTCACCATGGCTTTTGCGCAGTCGGGTGGTCGGCGTCCAGGTGTAGTGCCAAATGCTCCGGTCGGGCGAGCACCTCCTATCAGCTCCAATCTCTCGTTCGAACGATCCGGTCGATCCGCTAGACTTGAGCTTCGTTTTCCTTTTTTGTTAGGGTTGTAGGCCGCTAGGAGGTGGGGAGTAGGTAGGGAGGTAGGGAGGTAGCTAGTAGTAGCTAAGAAGCTACTAGCATGGATGCAGGATAGCTCACGCTTCTTCAAGGAAGCTCCCCCCGCCACCCTAAAGGCGGCGGGGACTATTCATGTGGTTCCTAGATTTTTAGCGAAGAAACACACAGCACAGACACGCAGGGTGTTTTATTGCCTTTCTTAAACATCTGGATCTTTTTCATGAGAGCAGTTTCGTAAAACAAAAAGGGAGTGCAAGGATTCGAGAAGAGCCCAACACTTGGCTCGGGCCCCAAAAAACCATTTCTCCGCACGCAAAAAACAAAAGAAACTGATCCAAGCTCTTCACCAAATCCAGCTGCTCTCTCAACTGCCCAAGCCTCAGTAGACTTCTCATGGGATTGGTAACAGGTCACACCACTGTGGCTGTTGACACGAATGTTCCCAAAGCATTCCAAGCACTTTTAGTCTCTGCAAACTCGCTCGCTCTCACGTCTTCAGGGCCGAACTGTCGATCCCGCTCGGACAAGAGTCGCGCCTGGGGGCGGGAGGTCTCCCAAAGCAGTGGGTGTGCAATGGGGAGACCTCCCAAAGACCCTCTGGAAGAAGGGTGGGGGGTTGGGGTCTCCCTGTTAAAAATACACACCCAAGTGAGAAGCATCAACTGGTTCGTGCTGAAACCACTTGTGTTTCCTCACGCGAGAATAGCCATCCCCTGTCCATTCGCTCAATGACGAAGCACAATCAATGTTCGTTCATTGTGACACAAAAAGTAACATGCGGAGATTCTGTGATATTATTGACAGACGGATCTATCAAATTTGTGACGGTTCCTTCGCCAAACTGTGCCCAGTCACCAAGTTTCTGATTCAAACTCCTTGTGTGCCGTGCACCAGTGTCCGTATACCAGGCCCCAACAAGGACACTATCGCCTGCAACTCATGGCCGATCCCCGTCAGGTATGCTTCCCTTCACTTGGACCAGCTGCAACACTTGGACCGGCCTTGTTGGCGAGCTCCCGCTCCTTTTCCTTCAGCTCCATCCGTAAGTCTTGAAGCTCCTCAGGAGTCCAACTGGCTGGTGACAGCTGGTGGATAAATATCCCAAGGCTTCGTAAGGTACTTGTGGGATGCCCCTCCTACCAACTGGGCTCAGGGAATGCAACTGATGTCGCAAGAGGGGAAGCAGCCAAGTAGATCCTGCAGATACTTCTGAAACCCTGAAGGTTGGAAGTTGGATGCAACAAAAGCAGCACAAAGGCAGGCAACACTTTCAGCAAACCGGTACAAGTTTGAAGGCTGAAAGCTGTGAGGCTGTGAGGTTTGCTCCTTCTGCAGTGCATCTGCCGCATGATTCGGGTCGTCCTCATAGGAGGGTTCATCAATGGATGTTGACTGTACAGCAGGCATCTGAAAGGTACAGGATGTAGTGAGTTTTTGTTACAGTACATCATTATGTTATATAGAAGGTCAGCTGACTGATGTCCCATCAAACCTTGATTGATGCAGATCGGGTCATGGACAATGAAAAAACACAGATAGGACTGATAGGACACTGATAGGAGCAAGTGTTAGAGGCATTTGCACAAAGAAGGAACTCCATGACTGAGAGGTTGTTGGTGTCTGATCGAAAAAACCATGCTTTTTAAGACACTGCGTGTTCCTGGATCCTGCGGACTCTTGCATCGGGTAGACCTGGGGCCGGTCAAGGGCGGACTGGCTGGGGTGCGGTGGGTGGGGTGTGGTGGGTCTGCAGATCTCTCATGTTCGTGGAAAACCTTTGGAATCACCACATTAGAGTTGCCCAGCAGGTCTCGCTTGGTTGAGACCAGATGAGACCGGGAGACGGTGTGTTTGAGCCAGGCGACGCAAATACGATTCTACGTAGTCTTGTCATGTCTTGCTACTAGTAGCTTCGTGTTACTAGTAGCAATGGCCTCCAACCTAATAGCGATGGCCTCCACCTAGTAGCTTCTTGTTACAAGTGCGTTTTCAGTTCTGCCTCCTTCGGTGATGCAGGGTATCCCCTCCCCGGCACCGGGTCTGTACGATGCAGTGGTACAACTCAGGACTCCCCGAAGTCCGGTGGCTCTGAGGTCCCTGACTTCCTCCACGCCTGAAGTGATGCGAATCCCCAGGCGCGGCCAGGCCGAAGTGGGGTCTGAAGCGAAAGCTTTGGAATTTTGGGGTTCATGACGAAGACTCCTTCATAAGATCATCCAATATCTTCCAATGACATCAAGATGACCAAGTCCCTCAAGTGCCTACGTTTTGGCCGCGAAGAGAGCTTTCAAAGTAAGGAAACAAGGAAACAAAACGTTTAGAGTGACTCCTTCGGCATCAGTGAAACATGTCCATGCCATCAAAATAGCATAGCTATAGCTATGCCATCCGAATCCAAGATCTTTCAAATGTCTTCGGAGCGAGCGGGCCGTAAGATTCTTCATTTCGGGGTGTCTTAAGATAGGCAGACCCCTATCCCGAAACGCATTGGTTGCAAGTCTTCCACACGGCTGCATTCGCGCGCGTCATGACCGGCTGCGGTCGTGGCCGGCCGAAAAGACTGGGTGCTGCCGACGGCCGTGACTCCAAGCGGCGCAACTTCTCTTGCAAGCCCTGGAGAGGAAAACGTGACTCCAAGCGGCGTGACTGGGGCAACTGAGAGTTTAGTTCCACCATCAGCCTTCGTACTACCCGAGCATGGAGCATCAGTCTTTGTGTTTTTAGAAAGTCACCAAGATCTCGGGTGCTTGCAGAGAGCCTTGAAGAGGCCTCTTCACTGTCGTCCGAACCAGAATCTTCGACTTGAAAAAGTCAGCCCAAAAGAGCAAAAAACAACTTACTTATGTGATATGTCCTTCCTCTTTTTGCTCTTTGCGCTCTCCATAGTTATGTTTTTCCTAGAAAAACGAAGTGTCAAGTCGTCCTGCGAGTTTGCGCAATCTTTTTGGCTGGCGCGGTGACACCCTTCCCAGAAGGAGAATGAAAGTCGCTGGCTTTCCAATGACTGCCCTGACCCATTTGAGCACGGTCTAAATTACCTGGTTTGTTCTCGCCTAGCGATTTAATGAGTCCCCGGTTGGGTGTTCCACAAATTCCCTTGCAAGTACGACACAACACACCCAGTGAAAAGGACTATCGTTTTACAGCGTCGTTCCACGTGGTTCGGAGTCGCCTCACGCCACCGTCCAGCTCCCGACCGGGCTGCCACGGGGACTAACACATACGCCCGAACTGGGGAGCTGTATCTGCCGGCATCCTCCGTGCGGTCTCTGGGTTCTCATTCGGTTGTTCCGACGGTCTCCTTCGTGACACGCCCACGCCCGGCACGTGCGGCCACAAGAAGTCGAGTACGTCAGGAGTACGTCAGGTTATGACAGATCGCGTTTTTGGCGAGCCTCCCATCATCGTCACAGGATGTGGGGCACTTCCACAAAATCAACGGGACATCCAAAAGGAGCTGCCTTTACAACAACTTTGAGCTTCCCTCAAATTATCTCAAATTTAGCTTTCAAGAGACTGTCCTACTCCTCCAGGCAGCCTCGATAATGCGTTGAGCATCACTCATGGCACGGCGCTCAGCCTGCGAAGTTCGTTTCGACACCCAGATGAGCCTAGACCACCTGACCCTGACTACAACATCTGGAGTGCCAAGATTCCCTTCACAAAATTTAGATGTCCCACTATTGACACTTTGAAAGGATCTCACGTGCAGGAGATTGGACCATGATGGATCTCCGCATCCTAGATCTGAATCAAGAATGTCTGATCCAACCAATACAAAAGCACTGTTGCAAGCAACTTGCTCCGCACGATAATCCTTTGTGCAGATGTTGTCCATGGTATTCCATGGTCATTGTTGTCGTTGCTTGCCAAACAGGCAGCTTATGCAAGGTCTGGAGGTCTTTCTTGTTCAAACCTGATCCAGGGATCCATCTATAGCGGCCATATAGGTCAAACCGAAGTTGTCCAACCCATGCTAGGTCTACCCTCGGTTTGAAGTTCCAGCATACAACAAACTAGCTTAAATATATAGGCTGTGCTTGAGAACAGACAGGACAAGCATATGAATGTGTCTCTGAAAGACCTCCTTTCTTTCGAACCTTAACGTTGACGACATGGATTCGAAAAAAAGTCTCTACTTCACAGTTACAAGGCCGCTGTCTCCCGCACGCCTCAGTTGTCTTTGGGTCGGAAGCTGCTGGGATGTAGTTGTCAACCTGGGGTGACTTGGCCCAAAACGCGCGGTGACTGAGCTCTCGGTCTCAGCTCCAGTTCTACATGTCGACGTAAGTCTACTCCCGAAACAAAGGTGGAAACTATCACAGGTGACTCAGAAAATGTGTATTTTCTATCTTGGCTTTTGTGAGGATCTATTCTTATAGACAATATAATACCATAATATACAACATCATACAGCACTGCAGCACTTCAGCACTTCATGGTGAATATGCAAGGCCATGACTTTGCCGGGTCTGATTGCAACACACCCAGCGTGTTTACAAAGCTTTTGAAGGAACTCGCAAGTGCTCCAACTACAAGCGTTTACTAGAGGCCCGAATGTATAAACCACAAAATTAAGAAGATAATTAGCCCAGCTGGAGACCCCAATAGCAAGATACAAACCGGGACAAAAAGAAAAATCTGGAAACAGCTGCTGTTTTCAACACATCGACCATCTCTTCCTTGGACACCATCATCACATAACCGGGACACCATCACAAAATGACCAGGGCACCATCAAAACATGACCGAGACAACGTCACAACATGATTGGGACACCATCACAACATGACCGGGACACCGTCACATGACCCGGACACCATCAAAACATAACCGGCACACCGCCAAAACATGACCAGGACAC